ATCAATGTGGGTTCATTAGTTGTAACAAATGTACCACTGTTTCATGGTATATTCGTAGTGGGGGAGGTTTCACATGTGTAGTGATAGGAGATATATGGGAACTCTCTGTACTTTGTACTCAAGTTTGCTATGAACCTGAAACTTCTCTATAAAATAAGGTCTATTAAAATAATTAAAGAAGGGCTGGCTGAGTGGCTCAGTTGGTTAAGAGCTCACTCAAGAGTTTGAGCTCTGAGCAACAGCGGTTTGAGTCCCGGCCCGAGCTGAGCAGCCGTTGAGCTGCCAACAGGTGGCAGGATGGCTCAGCTAAAAAGAAAAACAAAACAAACAAACAAACAAAATAATAATAATAAAATAAATAAAAATACATCAGAACCTCTACCTCTGCTTCATTTAAAGAATAGTGTCCAAACTCCTTGGCGTGGCATATGAGATCTCTTATAAACTTGTCGCTGCCTAACAATGCAAGCTAATTTGTTGCATCCACACTTTTCTGTGCAACACACATGCACACACACACACCCTTACCCTTGCCCTACCTCTCACACTCTAAACTTTCAGTACTTCTTGTTCATTGAAGCAAAGAGGGGCTCTCCCCCATGAATGGTGATATTTTCTGCTCTTCTTTGATTGACTATTGCCTACTTATCTTTCAAGCTTCATTTATTTAAAAGGCTGTTCTTGGTTCTCCAGCCTTATTCAGGTGCCTCTGATTGCACATTTTTTGGTCATAGAACACATCACGTTATTCCATAGTTGTTTATATATGTGATTGTATCCTTCAGTGTTCCCTGAGATCCTTAAAGTAGAATCTGTGTTGTTTTAGCATAACTCTACATCCACAGCAGGCACCCTAGAAATATGTGTTGGATAAGATTAATGGGGAAAAAATGGAGTAAGCAGTCATTCTAGAGTGTTCCCAAGCCTGACAACCATCTATGGCAAAATGCCCTTCAGGGAAAGTGTGTGCAGTTGCTGGAAACATTTTCCATCTTTAGTGGATAGAGCCAATTTTGTTCCCTGGTGATGTCAATATGGCACCTTTCACCAGCCTGAAAATCCTCTGGCACTAAAAACACATAAAGTCTGGAAGCTGTTTATGAGACAGAGAAGGTGAGTCAATAGACTCTGTTCCAAGCTGGCAAGAAGACACATAGTCCTAAACATCTAAAGCTCTATAATTCACATTGAGCTTCTCATTAATTTAAATGTTAATGTAAATTTAAACATGTTGTATTGATTTGGAACTATTTTTGTATGAATATTGCATAACTGAGCTTTCTAACAGAATCCAAATGGACATCCCTTTACATCAGCTTGTGATTAAGAGAAAAAGTGAGAATTTCTCTTTCTCTCTTTTTGTCATGTAAAATCATTGGTTTCTGTTACAAGGTCAAGCTATGAGAAGCTACAAGAACCTGTGCCTTTGAGTGCAATTGAATTGGATAGACCTGAGCAGAAAGATCAATTTCAGAATCTATTCTTTCAGAGGATTGCACATATAATTTCAAATATGTAGATAGATTACTGTCTTTCCCACTTCACTGATGAGAAACCTAAAGTCTCCACGACCCCATTGGTGATTTCAGTCTATTTTGTTAGTTCCTCAGCCAGAATCCCCTTTCATTGGGATTTATATTTCTTTATGTATAAGAAAAACACAGTTTTCAAAGGATGTCTCAATAGAAAGTAAGGTAATGATGATAATGAGGATGATACCTGGGAATTTCTGTATACGCTTACTTACTCTGTGCTAGACCTTGATGCAAAGTCTTTTATAAAAAGTTCTCATTCAATCCCCAAAGCAACACAGCAAAGGGGCTGCTCTCATCATCCTTTTTACAGATTGAGAAACTGTTCCCTGGAGAGATTAAGCCACTTTCCTAAAGTTCTCCAATCAGAAAGTGATGTTGCTGACCCTGGGACTCGGGTTGGTCTGATGCCAAGGTCTTTTTCATAACTACTATGCTCTCTGGGTCTTAAACTACACAATGCAACTTACATATGCAAGCCTAGAGTCATGAGTTTCTCTTTTAAGACATGCATCTAAACATACAATTGAGGATTTGACGCTACTGTTGAGAAGCTGGGCGGATGAAGTCCAGAAACCTGGGCTCTAGTTCGTGAACACCTTGTATCTTATTTCTTCCCCTGTGTCCTGTAAAATTTGAACTAATTGATCAATGAGGCCTCTTCCAGCCCCACATTCTATGAATCTGTATAATGTATTGTTGCCCTGGCCCTAGAAATGAAGTACAATAATCACAGTCCTAGAAACAAATCAGACAAGGCCTTCATATATCAAAGGATGGATAGTAACCAATGCATTCAGAGGCTCAGATACATAGAGGCCTTAGAGAACCTATTAAAACTAAAATTTACTGGCCTAGGTATAGCCAACAAACTTTGTCACGCCAGTATATACAACATAGTTAAGATGGAATATAGGCTTTGGGGATCACACACACCCGCTAACTCTGCCACTTATTATCTCCTTCTGGGCGATTGATCCATGCCTCAGTTTCTACAACCTATGAAAGGAGAATCATGATTCAAAATGTTTACAGGGTAGTTATGAGGCTTAAAAATAATGTAGAGTGTTTATCCCGGTGTCATAAATATAGTATGGATTTAAATTTGTTTCCATTATTCTGACAACAACAACAAAAACTCATGTTTTAAAATTACTTTAGTGAGTAGTAATTTCAGCTGTCACTCAATTCTCAGTTTTAGGAATTATTGTTTTTGAAAGACAATTACGTATAAAACATAAATTAGATATGAATATTTCACACAGAAACATGCCCGCCTCCCCCTGAAAGGTACCTGGGTGAGCAGGGCAAGGAATTATGATACAATGATGAATTCTATTATCTATCTTACAAGTTGCCTACAGTTTCCCCAGTTCCTTCAGAATTCCAACTTCTCCCCTCAACATTAGGAGAAGAGATGGATAGTAGCTAAATCACTGGTCATTAGACCACAAAGGATTATGAATCTTGAGTTAAAAATAAAATTTTACTTAGCTTCATGAGATACACAGTTGATTATTTTTCAAATCAATAGGTGAACCTGAAATTAATCGATGACAGTCACCTTAGTGTCATTTACTTGCAAGTAACTACCGTATTTGCCGGCGTATAAGACGACTGGGCGTATAAGACGACCCCCTAACATTTCCACTCAAAATACAGAGTTTGTTATATACTCACCGTATAAGATTACCCCCTCTTCCGCACACCTTCCACACACCAAATAAAAGGTAAAACAATATCAGATTTGATTTGGCCCACTGAAGTGCAAACAAGCGTATTGTATTTC